ACACCGTGTTAAAAGAACAGATTGAGTTATTACTAACCCCTCTACGATTCATAATAACGATAAAAGTGGATTGCCCATTCTATTTGATTGTGACTTATCAGTACTATTTTGATGCACATGAATAACAAAGACAACTGAATAAGCTTTTTTTGCAAATCAATCTGAAAATTTATGACAGTTTTTTATTTCATTTATATAAAACGGCAGACGTTTTGATAGTTATCCTTATCCCTATAGCTGACTTCGGGCTTTACAGAGAGGAGGAGGAACACCAAAGTGAAACTTCGGGCTTTACAGAGAGGAGGAGGAACACCAAAGTGAAAAAAAGTCGAGAGGGGGACAGAATAATGATTCACAGATGTAATAGAGACAGACGGACACAAAGGCAGAGAAAAGGTAGGATGAGTACTGTGAAAGGGGTCGAATATGACATACAGTTGGGTCATGGTAGTTTGAAGTCAGAAGTCAGCTAACGAATAACAGACTTTTTTGCCGTACGAGTTGTCCAGAATGCACCACGTGGAGGTAAATCCATCGCACACACCAAAATTTACAACATAAGCCGACTCGATAACAAATAAATCATTTGATAAAGCCATCACCATCAATTTTAGTGCTATGAATATCATCTATTTTTGTCAGGTTCCCTAATTACGTAAGTAGGAAGGATTATTTAAAAACGCCAACGCAAGTCAATAAGGTAGATAAAGTATGAAAAATTGGTTTTCAATTAATAGTTAGTGTCATAATGCTAATCTTGGTAGAAAATCAATCAGTCGAACATTTTAGCAATATTGACAATATTGAACGGTGTTACCTCCAAGTGATTCTCCTAGAATGCTTCTTTTGTAGAGCATTCTATGTCATATTCACATCAATAATGAAACATTGGAAGCCATTTAGTATTTTCCTTCTGCAGATCAGCTTTTTCTATTCGAAATAAAGATTGTCTTCTCTTGACCTGTTCTTATTATGAGAGAAAAATCGTTAGGCATGGTTCAATCTCCCATTACTGTTACCTCCTTATCTGCATATTACTAAGTAGAAATTCTACATTAATTAAAGACTTATTTCATCTTCAATAGGTTTCATGTCGTTTTGACACATTAGAGTCAGGATTTCCTTCATGTCATAGAAGGAAAAATTTTCTTCCTTCATTTATAACTTGTTTTTCTCGTTTCCGATGTGCTTCTTAATCACCTGAATACGCCACTTACAGCAACCGGTGTTAGTAATATTAGGTAGATAAATCAAAAGTACTGTATTAAAAACAAACCCCTTTGAACTTCTGATCAGTGCTTTTAGCAAATTTAGAACTCTCATCCCTCCCCCCTCCCGCCTATTTAGTTTGAGCAATTAAATGCATTAAAATCCGCCCCGTTAATGTGGAGATTGAGAATAGATCCCTTGAAAGGAGAAGGCTTGCATTTTAAGTCCGTTTAAAACGCTTAAAAAACTTTTTTTAATTACAAAGAGTGAATTTTATTGCTCCCCCTAATGGTCTGGAGAAAATTTGATTAGTTGATAAATTAAAAGAAAGCATTGTGGCCAGGGTAATAAGACTAAGTTAATCAAAGGGTTGATAGAAAGTAGGCACGCTCAGCTATCAACATCTGCTAATGAAGTACGGAAAACGATTCCCAAAATAAAAACTGATAGTGGAGTCTAAAATTTGAGATTGCATTGTACTCAAACTTTAATGAATTTGCATTCAGCCCAAGAAGGAAGGTGGTGTAGACTGGCAGTTGACTTCTCACTTCAAATTACCATGACCTCACTGTATGCCACATTCGACGACTTCTACAGTACCCATCTTGACTTTTTTCTCTACCTTAGTGTCGGCCTGTCACTTTTAAATAGGTGAATCACAGTTCTGTCCCCCCCCCTCTCGAGTTTGTCACACTTTGATGTTCCTTCCCTCTGTGAAGCCCGAAGTCAGCTAAAGGCTAATGATAACTACCAAAACGCCTGTCATTTGAAATAAATGAATATTAAAATTATTTTTATCCTACGTTGACATGGAATGGCCAGGGCGACATGTTTGTGATTGTATAACAAAGCAGATGTGAAAATACCATTCTGCATGGCCAAATACATTCAAACATTGCCTCAAGTTACATTTTGTTGTTCAATAGCTCGCCCTTGACTAACATTGGGCTTGATTTATAATTTTCAACAAAGACAAACATGAGTGAATGATTCCTGGGTTTGAAATACTTTTTATAACTTTCAAAATTAAATATTTTAATTCCACTTACTATCTACTGTCCCTTGACCATCTTAAATCTTTAAAATGCTCAATTATTAAAAGCAATTTCAAGGAAACACCGTTGGCTTTGTAGTTTACGTCATCGCTTAACCCTTGGTCGCATGTCCACACAACCAATGGCCAATCAGAAGCCTTCGTTTATTTAAGCGGATCCGCCTTGTTGATTATGATTAACCTCACTGCGCGTAAAATTTATTCACAGTATACTTTCTTAGTAAACGTGTTCCGTGCAATACGTTTGTTTCCTCTATATCTGGGCTATAGCTTGAATGGTTCTGGGAGAAACTGCCAAATCAATTTCTGAGTCAGTCAAGACTTTAGTAGTGTAGTGATCCGCCACAGTTTCATTTGCTGATTTTAATTTAAATATTAGTGACTAAATAGATGGCATATTACCAATTCAAATTGTTTAAATTAGTTAAAAAAGTCAAGTATTTTTTAGCAAATTCTTAATACATTTGGTTGGTTTGGAAAAAATTAATGACAAGAGCAAAATACATGTAGGTGCGTTGTCCACATAATTTATAACAACCATCGATAACTTTAATAAAAATATATAGTGTATTTAATGAAAATTTGTTATCAATCCTTAGAGAAGAGAATAGCAGATATTATTAATATTTCATTTAGTAGCTATTCGATCCGCTACACTTTTTAACTTCTGCCGATTTTAAATCCAAGCTGGATAGAGATAAAAGAATTAAGCGAGATGCGCAAGAAAGTTGCTGGATAATTTTTATCATTATTTTAAGATATTCTAATACAAAAGAAATTATTACAGCTTGATTTTGGCAATAGGATTATTTAATTTACTAATGAATTTCTTTTAATTATATTAACTTATTAGGAGGAAACTGGCAAGTTAATCTCGAAAGCATTCCAAATTATTGGCCATTAGAACTCTATTCTGGTCATCTGAAACATCTTTCTCCATTTACCAAATGGCTGTTGAATAAGTTACATATTCAATGATCTTTGTAAATTAAGTTCAAGACATTTAAAATTTACACGATTTTCGTTTTTAATCAGTGTTAATCAATACCCCCACCTTTCCCAAAACTTCGGATTTGTCTAGAATCAAGATCGCGCTACCAGTTTGCTTTCAAGTTCTCCTTCCGGTAAAAACCCAGACAGGCTATCTTACTTTTCACGTCTTGTAATCTCCCCTAGTTCACTACGGATTTATGCCACAATGATTCCTGCACATTCTATTCTTAAATTTCCACTTATATCTACATCTCGCAATCTTCAACTATTCCTTTGAGTCTCTTTCACTTTTTAGTTAATTGAATTCTTCATCCATGCCATTATCTAATTAGATCAATGGAGGAAAATTTATTTTCTCTCAGTTTGGACATAGAATTGGACTCAAATTTGGATGTTAGTGGGTATTTAAACCAGAGTACCACTGTTTAGGCCATCTGTTATTGAGTTGCTTTTCGGTACACATCTAATAGAATTATATATTTATCTCAGCACCACTATTGCTGAGGTTGATTTAACATTGGCAGTGGTTCAGTAAATGGGACTTGAGCAATAAAAATGAGATCGCCTGGCTTAACATGCAGTAATCTGTTTCCCTAATTAATATGTATGTGTTAGATCTTGAGTCTCCCAACAGGAGGCCTCGTTTTTATGATTCTCTATTCGAGTGAGATGCCGAATATGCATTTCTAAATGGTTTTGGATTTATTAAATTTCATTTGGAACGGTGGCTTTTGATTTGTTAAAAATGCCTACCAATTAGAATTGAGCCTTTTTCGTTAATATTGACTTTAGGATAAGATTTAATTCTTTTAGGTTGCTATCAATTTGTCCCAGCAATCAAACTGTTCGCATTTGGCTAATGATCACTATCTTCTCCACTCCCACTCATGTCAGTTTTACATCTTCTACTTAAGTAAAATTTGTCGGTGTTTGCAAAGCAGAAATACCGACTGCTTATTCTTTTATTAGTTTCTCAAATAAATGACTCATCTAGTTTCTGTTTCCGTTAAATAAATCTTTTTGGTGTAGCAGTCGAAAATGTTTTACTATTCATTTAATTTTGTTCTCATAAACTTGAAATAAATTTTGTCGAATTCTTTACTCATTGCACAAAAATTTCACTTGAGAGATGAAGCTAAGTATAGAATGCAAAGCTACGCATTGATTTCAGACTGAAATTGCCTTATGTGAAAAACTACCTCATCTTATTGATAGAAACATGATCCCAAACAGATCGATGATCATCATATTAACCGAATTAGCTTAGAACAATGCCTCCTGGATAACGCCAAACTTTTAAATGTTTTCAATGCTAACACAAGTCTGCACATCTAGGCAACGCTGTTGATAGTGATTAATTTACTGAACTCTCATTTTGTGAGCATCTTGAGATCGGTTAGCACGGAATTGTGGAAATTTAATTGCAGTTTGAAGATTAAACGGAATGGAAAATAATTTGAGCTCAACTAGTTATCAACTCATGCAAGGTAGATAAAGCTCAAGAGAAAGTGCATAAGGTGATTAAAATGACGGAGTAAAAAGGCAATGATTTAGTTTAATTTCTGCTCAACTTAAAGTTAAAAGTTTTATTAGCATCCCATCAATAGTTTTTGACGCTGCAAATTAAAAAGTTGTCAATTAAAAAGTACAAAAGGGCGAATTATGATTATGAAAATAATTGCGGAATTTTACATCAGTTTTACATTTGCTTGAGCTCTCACAGCGGAGATGACAGAACACAGAGTTAGAGGAAGCTCTTGATAACATCGAGTCCCTGAACTCCACAACAACAGTTCGCACTAGCTGGCAGATGCAAATCCTTCACTTGTTCCCATGAGTTGTGCATTCCAGGAACCCACTTCTCCACCATAGAGATGGTTGAATTTGTCTCATCACTCCAACCTCCCATCACATAGATCTTATCATCCATCACAACTATGCAAAAATTACTCCTCTGTCGAATCATCGAGGGCATAGTCAACCACTGGTTATTTTCAGGATCATATCTCTCCACCGTTCGCAGTCTCTGCAGTCCATCATTTCCCCCAATAGCATAGAGACAGTTCTTGAAACTTATCACACTCACGCCACTTCGGATATTCTGCATCGGAGCTAACAGAGTCCATTGGTTCACTTTGGGGTCATAGCATTCAATGGAATCGTAGAAATGATGACCATCAAATCCACCACAAACGTAAATTTTGCCGTTTAAAGAGTCGGCGCCTGCATCACTACGCACCTGTCGCATCTGCTCCACAAAAGTCCAGTTGTTCTGTTCAGGATCGTATCTTTCAACGGTATTCAGACGATGCCGACCATTATGGCCTCCAAGTGCATAAATTGCATCATCCAGAAGACAAGCACAAACATAATTCCGTTTCTCGTGCATCGGAGATAAATATTTCCAATTTCCAGTAGATAGTTCCAGAGCTTTGAGTGTCTGAGTTGGTCCACTGGCAACATATCCACCAATAATATAGATCCGTTTGTTATAGAGTATACAACCGGAATAGGCATGGCCTTCATCAAGAGCGATTCCACTTTTGTGAAAACGGTTCCACGAATCACTTCTTGAGTTATAGACTTGAATTGCTCGAGATGGACCGAAGTTTGGGTCATCCTGATTGCCTTCCCAGCCACCTACAACAAAAATAGCAGAATGGGGAAGTCTTGGACGTCTAAAATATGCCTCCAATTCGATTTCCTTTTCTGATCGTTGACCGGATTGGTTAGATTTAACGTTCCCAGACTGTATAAGGACCTGAGCGATGGATAAAATTTTAGAACAACTCTCGAGGTTTTCATTAACAAATTTGCTGCGCTTAAGTTGATTAAATTCATTCAAGCTTAGACGACCTAATCGGAGGCATTCTAGTATATCTCGAATATAGCTAGCACGGCTAGACTCGTCCTCGTTTATCCATTTCTCCATTTGCCTGAATAATTCCAGCTCATTGGATGTGTTGAGAGCATCGTCAACCAAAAATAATTTCAATTTTTCAAATGGTTGAGAAAGAAAGTTGCTTGAATCACAGGTTTCTGCAAAGTGGTTAAGGAGGAAGTTACGACAATATTCGGTTACATCAGAAGTAATTTCTGAAATTTGTTCAAGACCTGCCCAGTAGGACCATGCATTATCAGTGGAGAGTTTTTCTTTCATCGCATTTATGAAATAGTCATTAAATTCTGGAACTTGAAAATGGAACCCAGCTTTAAGAATGGAGACTAGTTTTGAACTATCTAAGGAATCTGTTAGACTCATTCTCGCTTCATTAGAACAATGGGTGAAAGATAGCATGATCTCAAATCCAAGTAGATCATAGTAATTTATATGAAGGGGTTCTATTTGAAGGTCACATAGACTGCGAGCCCGAGCTCTACGAAAATTTGGATGCTTTTCATCCTCTTCTTCTCTAATTTTTGATTTTTCAAGTTCACCTCGACGCAGCTCAATTAATTGACGTTTAAAGTATTCACTTGCTTTGGCAAGTTTAAACCCACTCACACGATGTTCGTGGGTACCATTGATAATTAACATTCGATCAAGTACATATTCTGGTAGGGTATATACAAAATTGCATTGGTTATTATTCATCGGCCTGTGAAGGGCTTCCGCTTATTCTTGAACACCACGCCAGGATAGCACACGTGGTCCCTATCGGGGGATTTAAAGTGACTCGGGACAAATCGATAGGTCATCTCTTTGGTGTCTTTCCATGTAGTCAATTGAACAATCCTGGGATAAAACAGAAAATGGTTTGTAGAGCTTCTTTCGCTTTTACTTACTGGCATACAATTAAAGGCAAGTTATTGATTTTTTTATTAAAAGATAAATCGAGGTAGCCAATAATAGGAAAATTATGCCACTATTAAATATAATTCTTTAAACCACATTTGTCTAATTTATTTGAAAATATGGCTTCCAGAACAGTCAATTAATGTAAATTGCCTGCTTATGGGAGTCAACGTACAGCACAGATTACCTCGCCTTGGTATGCAGACACTACAGGAACCACATAAGTCAAGAGCTTAAACTAATTGGAGTGGTTCATTTCACTAGGGTTTCCTATTCTCATTTATATAATTAACATTGCCATCTATGTTTAAGCCAATCAACAAAAACTCAATTTTTGATCGATCCTAGCAAAAAACTATTCAGACATAATTGCATCTTTCCTTAAATTTTCTCGTCTATGTGTCTGAAATTGATGGACGTAATTTTCAATGTGATCTAATACGTCTTTTCAGTCGATATAACTCCTGTTTTTGCCGATCTCTTTGAAATACCCCAGTTATCTCCCTCCTGTCCTCCTAGACTAGCTTCACAAACTATTGCAATTGATAAAGTTAAGAAATTTGAAATATCAAGCTTATTTTAATTAATTATTCTAATTGCTAGCATATGAAAGTCAAATATGAATTCCTCATCTTGTGAAGCAAAAACAGAACTAGACCTGTAACTTTTTGAAACGATGAGGAGGCAGACTACAAGGAGTGATCTGCCATTTAAATTGCATATAAACAAGTAACTACGACATTTGTCTTTACTAATAACCTTAATACTCACCCGCTCCCTTCAGCATCCCAGCTTTGGAGACTTTTTCAGGCAAATAACCTTTTAATATGCAGGTATTCGCTTTATTTTAAAGTACGCAACACGCTCCATGAACGGAATACCATTTCCTCACTTAGGAGGCTTCAAAATTTCATTTATCTGTCGAACACCTTTATTCCATCTATTTATTATTTCCTATTGAGGTAGCCTATTGTAGAAGCGGATCCATCTCAATACTGAGACAGCTGTTTCCATTTTTGAATGCCACTGAACGAACCAGAACAGCTATCCAATAGGGAGTACACGGAAGGTATGAATACCGAGTATTATCGACTATTAAAAAGTTTTTACTTTTATCAGAAGGACTTGAAATTTGAATTTTAACTTTATGGTCTAATTTTCTGCCAATAAGGCAAATTCCCAAGTTCAGACACTTTCGTGAAAAGAACGAATTTTTGTCCCTCCATCATTTGTTTTTTTGCATATAAAATTTATTTTAATTTCATAAGCAATCAGCTGTTTGAGCCTAATATATAAACTCTCAGAGCTATTGCTCATCATTCTGCCTGATTAGGGGATTATCAGGACTTCAAGAATGCACAAAGACTCATTTTGGTATGTGTTTTCCAACACTCAGTTTGGTTAAAGAAACAGATCAATGCAGTTTACCGAAGGGGAGCTTAAATTTTACCAACCCCATCCCCCTCCCATTAGCATGAATTAACCAATGCATGACTTTAAACTTAACAGTCGAGACCCTTTGCCGTTACTCCACCATCGTCATGTTTCAGTGTAAATTAAGTGCATTGATTTATTTCTTGCCAGCTTATTTGCGATTGTGGCAGTCACAATAATGCTTTTGTTTTCCATTGCGGTTGGATAGGAAGAGCAATGTAATTATTCACTTGAGGCCTTTAAGCAAGGGATTTCATTGTATTCCCGAGAAGGTCACATAGTCTATTCAAATTGGTGAATTGAACAATACACCTAAGGCGATATCAGCCTTTGCAGGCTGGCTCGAACATAGGGACAGTTAGACCCACCTACGATTCCTAAGGTCATTAATTATATCCCCCCCCCCCTCCCTAAATAGTTCTCTCTTGACGTAGCATTGAATTAGCTATTCCTTTTTGTCATCTAGTGGACATTTAAGGCAGAGAGAAGTTAGATCGTCTAACAGTACTACAGCTAAACAATTACCCTACGTATCTTCTCGTTCCATATTCTCATTTCTTCTCATTTACATAGAGATCCATTCAGCTTGGTTTAGTAATTGCTGATGTGCTTCAAGTTATACTCAGGTTTATTTTTTCCATAGCAGACCGCAAGGTGGCCAATTTAATAAATACATGTGCGTGCGTAGCGGATTTCACATAAGTAAGCCTTTAGTCAAACTCAAGATGCTTGACGACAAAATAGACTAATAGAAAATTGCTCCCTTAGTTGGTCATTCTAATTCAAAAGAACTCGCGTTGTCAATAGCAGTTATTTCGGACATCGGTCGCTGGCAAAATGGGTAAGCATCAGGACTACCCCAACAATGCAGCGATTGATGGTTGAGAGGCCACTGCACTCACGCCTCACTTGTCCTCTGCGTAATCGGCAGTACGCCGAACCTTCCTGAAGGTTAGAGTGAGCATGAGAGTTCTTTGTTCAGTCTTGATAGTATTGTAAACTCTACACAGTTTTGCGATTGGTCATTTTTAAATTATTTTCAGATCCCAGCCACTATAGCGTCTTGAACTCTGATTGGTTATCCTAAAGTTCATATCCAATCAACTCAAACATTTATTTATTTATATCAAATGATAGGCGTTTTGATGGTTATTATTAGCTCTTTAGCTGACTTCGGGCAACACAGAGGGGAGGAACATCAAAGTAAGAAAAATTCGAGAGGGGAGCAGAAGAGAGATTCAAAGATGTGAAAGAGACAGACAGGCACAAAGGTAGGGAAACAAGAGAAGTGAGTGCTGTGGAAGTGGTAGAATATGACATAAAGTGGGGTCATTGTGGTGTGAGATCAGAAGTCAACTACCGGCTTATAGACGTTACCCAGGGTGTGCCACGTGGAGGTAAGTCTATCACACACCTCTCGACTTAACCATGGGACCGGTTTGTGTGGTCAGTATCTTCTCTACAAGTCTGTTGACTTTGAGCTAACAGATGATCCGAATTGTAAATGGTTAGGAGGAATAATTAGTCGTTTTTGCATTAAAATTACTTTTAGTAGTCTTATTCTTTTAGTCAGCCAAATGAAAAACCCCTGTATAGATTAATAGGCAGTGTCCTATATTTGATTCTCCTTCTCTTGGTTAAAGCACTATCAGAGAAAATCAATTGAAATGTAGTCACATCTAAGCAGCCATTGAAATTTCACTGAATTATATTCCATTGAAGTTGATTTACTGTTTTCAATTTCAATTTATTTGCCAGTTTGAGTTTTCTATTCTCAGCGTTTATCAATATTACCGACTTACATTATTCGTACTAGAGGTTCATTATAGCTTGATGTCGCATTAGACAAAGAACGTAACTTAAACGAAGAACTATTTGTTTGCTATGGCTCGACCATAAAGATAGTTAAAAAGTGACAAATCAGCTACGACTTTCTATAGTGACTCTAGATAAATGGCTTTTCATCCTCTGTTGAAGGATATCAACCACTTCACCTGAATTGTTCCTTTAATTCATTAATTGAAATGGTGTCCTGCAGATCAACTTCTGTGGCAATTAAATTTTAAAATAAAACGAAGCATAATGTCTACAACTTTATCTAAGTGAGTCAGCAAGTCTTCGGTCTAGACTCTACTTAAGCGTTATGATTATGAAAACACTTTGTTACAAGTTAGCTAAGGGAATTTATGAAGAGTGGGTGGAAAATGAGGGAAAGATTATTTATCTGAATATAAAAAGCCTTTGTGAATATCTCCTCACCTACTCAAGGCCACATTTTTCTAGCAGACACCCTACATCTGTCTATTCCTAAGTTATTCCCAAAGAAATTTGACAATTCTGTGTGTCTCAAAAGAATTGATCAACTAGAGATGAGCACTCTTTACCAAATCACAACCAAATCCACGGTAAGGAAATGGAGACAAAAAATTTTCTTTGTCGGAAAATAACTAACAATGGGTAACAATAGAATTCAGTAAAAGCATTCAAATAAATTGTGGGAATAATTTCGTCCTACCTAAGAATCCAGCTAATTTTACTTAATGGGTATTTCCAAGTGTAGTATTCCAGAAAGTAAATTAATTGTGCTCATGTCGGAATGCTATATAAATTGCTTTCTATGATGGTGTGCATCGAACTAACACGCGGCTATATCTCGACCTCATATAATCTAATTAGTCCAATTTCTTTAAGAGAATTATCATTTACAAAACTTTGATGGACATTTGTTGAACTGCCCGTTAGATAAAGTCCACATTCACTCGCACTGAATGTTGACCTTACAGTTTGACCTGATGTCATTAAGAATAATTTCTTTAGCCTAAACACTCTTCCCATTCCCCTTACACACCCTTAAACAACCTTTTACACGGCAATAAACGGAACTCAAACAATGGTTGGACTCTCATTCAAATGCATCCCTTTGAATTCACAAATTAACTTCCTCCGTATACAAATTAATTTATTTATATCAAATGGCAGGCGTTTTGATAGTTATCATTAGCCTTTTAGTTGACTGCAGGCTCCACAGAGGGGAAGGAACATCAAAGCGAAAAAAGTCGAGTGGGGGGAGGAACAGAAGAGCGTTNTCCCCGAATATCAGTGTCGAAATCCCGTTGTTCAAGCCTTCAACTATCCAACCAATTTTTCATGGATCACAATGACCATAAGACAACTAGCCAAAAAATAGAAACAAGGAGATGAAGAAAGAGTCATATTGACTTCCAACTTCCATGTGAAGGGAAATCAAGAAAAGTGTTTGCAGATGTTTGAAGGAAAAAAAGAATGGCTTGCACTATTAATGGGATCACTGCTCCTCGACTTCAGGTGTCTAATTTTCGATTATTTATAGTCTTAGCAAAGACAGG